ACCAAATTTCATTATTATGAAAAGATTATTTAATAGTTTCAGTTTAGTATATTATTTTTACACAAATGCCATGTTACTGTTTATTCTTGATGTGCACAATTCATTTCAAATGTTATGTATACAAATCTGTAATACTCATTAAATAAAAGCTCGGTTTTGTGACAAAATCTATTCTTACACCTAGTGGCTTTTTCTTTTAATTTCTTGTTTTTGTTTAAGTAATTAACTTTTGATCTTTTGAGTGTTAATGAGAGAATTTGTGTGTGGATCTTTGGATCTTTTCTCCAGACTATGCCAGGGTGTTGGATAATGAACAGGCAGACAGACTGACTGGATCTGCATCCCTGGGTGGTAAACTGATACATGACAAGGCAGATGTGGTCAAGGCCCTGAGGAAACAAGCAACGGAATCAGTAAAAAAATAAGATTATTATGGCTTGGAGAGAATGAAGCACCTGGGTCTAACCAGAGGGTCTGGCCGGCTTACTACACCTAGAGGAAAAGCTAGACGGAATATAACCAGATTGTGACCGGCACCATCAGTATTGGAACTCTGTGCTGGTTGCTGATAAGGAAGAATTTGTTTGCTTTGCAGTTTGGGAGTAGTTTATGGTGGAAAAATCTGGGGCAATGTGAGGGCTGTGTGTTGGATAATTGTCACATAAATTGTAAATTATCATTATCATCATCATCACATACCAGGTCCTTTGCAGAACATCACTCTTATGGTTGTCTGCCTGTAAGAAACTCTAGCTTTTACCAGCACCTGCCTCATGCACCTTCATATCCTAGTCACTTATATCCTGTGCCTATCTTCGTGTGAGCTCCCCAATCCCTTTTCTTGGTACCATGTCTTCTGCTTTTGTTTTGTCTAATCCACTGTGGCATTTGATGAAATAGTCCAAATATTTCAGCTTCCAAGTCAAGATGTAGTTTATTATTAGCCAATCTTCCTTGAAGTTCAGATCTGTTAAAATGTCATTATTTCTTCTCTTTTTTGTCCATGGTTTTTTCAGAATCTTTCTTTAAATTTTAGCTCAAAAGCCCCTATTTTCTACCTTACGAACTTCAAGATAGTCTACGACTCACATCCGTATGTTGCTACAGGAAATATGCATGCTCTCACAATTGTAACTTTGAATTCCTTACTGGTGCTTACCATAGACTTTTAATGCTGTTTAATCTTTGTATTGCCAAGGCCATCCTCCATTTGACTTCTGTTGAACAATCTCCATTGCTGTTTATTATGGAGAGTAAATATTCAGAATGTGTTTTATTTTAAATGTTTTCATCAATTTTTTTTTTTTTTTGGGGGGGGGGGGGGGGGGGGGGGGGGGGGGTGTCAGCCAGTTTTGTCCCTGTACATCAGTGATTCCCAAACGGTGCACCGCGGCAGCCACAACTTCTTCGCAGGGGCGCCATGAAATATTCAAAGATGAGTTTTTTCTTTTCGCTCACAAATGAATAGTCATACTTTTACTTAGGTTAGGGTCTACGGGGAAATTTTTTAATTTAAAAAAGGCACCGCGACTAAGAAAAGTTTGGAAAACACTGCTGTACATTATTTTTGATTTCTTTAAATCAGGCAGGTTTTAAGCTAGATTAGAGTTGCCACCAATTATCAGCGAATCGTAACTGTCACATACCTGGTCATGTTTTCTACACCCCTTACACCCTAAAAAAAAGATCACGACGTGCGAAATGAGATGCTTACGTAAGGCTGCCAATGTCACAAGGAGAGACATGAGAACATTAGATCAATTGTAGGAACCACACCATGCCTGCAATACATAAAGAAGCAACAAATAGAGTGGTTTGGCCACTTGATGCGAATGCAAACCGACCAACTGCCTCTACAAGCATACAACGAACAGCACTACTGCCCTAGAGCAGGTATGTGACAGTTACGATTCGCTGATAATTGGTGGCAACTCTAATCTAGCTTAAAACCTGCCTAATTTAAAGAAATCAAAAATAATGTACAGCAGTGTTTTCCAAACTTTTCTTAGTCGCTGCACCTTTTTTAAATTAAAAAATATGCTAAATTAATTTAACAATTTCATTGGTTAGTTTTAAGGTATATGTAATGAAGTCGGCCCAGCTCTGCTCATCCGCCTTGATATAACCAACGCTCAGTATAGGAGCCGGTTGAAAGAGGCAAGAACTTTTTCGTTTTTTTTACCCACACCAGTACCAGCTCTGCTCATCTACACATTTATGATTGACGGAGTCCAGCCAGGACACTGTAAATGGACGTTTAATCTCCGCCTCAACCTGTAGGATGCGCAAGTGTAAGTGGCAGGGACATCAGCTTGGTTGGTAGACGCTCCTACACGCATACTCTATATTACAGGATGTGAGTGCATATAACGACTCCATAATATGTACAACTGGCCCTAACCCCAATTTCTTCCCCACAAACTGGACCTAGGTCCCACGAGAGTGTGATCTACAGCAGTAGACCAGGACACCCCTGTAACGTTGAGCAACGTGGACCAGCCTGACCAAGCATCAATGAAAGCTGACCTAGTGTGTAGATGGGCGGAGCTGACCTGTTCGTTGCTAGTTCCAGTTTTAATACCTGACACCCATACACACATGTAAACACACATGTAAGCACGCATGCACACACGCGCGCACACACAACAGGGTGCACACAAATAAACCCAGATCTGTAAAACTGATGTGCCCTCGAAACTCACTTCTGGAACGAGACAAAAGTCCTGATGTAGAAGAACAACCGAAACTTTTCGTCGGAGTTTACAGCCGGTGACACTAGGGAGAAGATAAAATGGGACTGCCATTACTTCTTGTAAGTTCATTAAGAACTGGCCAGCCCTAAAAATGCAAATACTTTTTTTTTAAATTAAAAGGATAGCGGCGTTTACCAGACAACTACGTCAAATATGACCATGAAGAAAACTGCTGCCTCCAGAGCAGTCGCATGGGTTGCAGAACAAGCGGTCACACCTGCGGTTCGGAAAATCGCAACACAAGACAGAGTCGCTAGTTCTGCACCACTTGGTGGTGAATAGATGTATGACAAGGCAGGTGTTGTGAGGCCCCTTTGTGAGCGAACGAACACTGGTGGGATCAGATCACTGCTGTCTGAGTTATTCGATCTGGCCGACTCTCAGGGAAAAGGTGGGACGGATTTACAATCAGACAGCTACTGATGCTATCGGGATAGGAACTCTTCGCTTGCTGCTAAAGATGGGGACGGAGCGCTTATGGGGGTGTCCCGAATGCTATAGACGCTCGCCGCGGATCGGAAGGTCGTGGGTTCGCTCCCTGGCGGAGCCGGACTTTTTTCAAAAATGACCTCGGCTCCCAGGTCGACCCAGCTTTGAGTGGGTACCGGTTGCAGTCCCGGGAAAGTAAAGGCGGCCGGAGTGATGCTGACCACATCACCCATCTTGTGCCGATTGGTCTATAAAAATATAGGTCTAGCCCTATATGCCTAAAGGCTTGGAAAAGGGTCCTTTAGTTTTTTTTTACCGAGAGCTATGATGTCGATTCCTAATTAACATTCACGTCACGTCACTTGTGATAACAATTTTCTTTTCGAGTACCTGTTTACACATTTCACTAAAGTCGCCGTGATATAGCGGCTAGACGATCGCATTTTCTTCTTCAAAAATGACCTTGGTTCTCGGGTCAACCCAGTACAGGTTTAAAGCCCCGTTAAAGTCGGTTGCCAAGTTGCCATTCACCAAGTGCCGACTGGTCCATAGAATATTTCCAGTGCTATTTATCCAGTATGCCTGATGGTGTGGTAGTGTCCTTTATATATTCCAGCGTCTGTGGCTTATGCCTTGCGAACGTGATTCATAAGTCTGCTGTGCCCCGTTTGATCTCAGCTGTGGGTGATTTGGTAGCAGACAGCATTGCGTTGGTTTTGACAGTGGTGTCGAGTGCTAATCTTCAGAAAGCAGTAGCAAACTACTGAACATAAAACTGCCCAGTGATATAACAAATAGTCAGAAAATGTTGGGATTGGTCGTGCCACGAAGCTGCCAATTACTGTCTTTATTATACCACTTATGCGGTGTAGGCAGGGGGTCTTTTGATCACGATTTATTTTTGACCCTGATAAAAAAAAAAATTCCCAACCTTACCAATGATTTGAAACCGGGTCTCCCACATATTCTAACCATTCGGCGAGCTCCTCTTTTCAGAATATACAACTAACATTTCAATATATTGTAACATCATTTCAAATATACTATTTTATTTATTTGCCTACAGGGTACACGTAACGTTAATCTCCCCACGCCGCGCCCACATACGCACTAGCTAACTTCTTATTGGTAGTTCCTGAGCCTGTCACCTTGGCACAAGGTTACGGGGGTGTTCCACGATGTCGTTGATATCGCGTGTTGCATATATTTCAGCACGCCAGCGCTTTTACCACTCTAAAAACACAGGAAAACTGGCCCTAACACAGCCCCACCCCACACAGTGCTGCAACCTATGTCCCAAGCATTCTCTTTCTCGGAATGAAAACGTAAATGCAAGAAAACACAGAAAGCAAACAATAGAGCGGGACACACATATAACCTTCAGGAAAGTTTACCAGCCCAACAAACTTGTGAATGAAAAAATGAGCTTCTTTGTTTGGGGAGATTAACGTGAACCTAACCGCCTACAGCAAATAATAATACTGGAAGTAACTTACACAAGGCTTAAGGCTCTCCCAGCTTTAAACTACCATTGTCAGTATAGGGCTATTACTAAAACTAATTACCGAAAAATAATCTGCCCATGATTTTTTTCAGAACTTCTGAGAGAAAGGCGATGGAAAGACCAAGAACGAGATGGATAAATGTTCTAGGTGAAAACCTGCTCTGCTAGCAGAAATTGGCGGGTCTTGTGAACTTGTCTGCGGGGACTGATTTGTGGACTTGTGTGCGGTGACTGATTTGTGAACTTGTCTGCGGGGACTGATTTGTGGACTTGTGTGCGGTTCTTTAAACAGCAAAAAACAAAACAGAAAAAAAATGAATGAAATAAGCAGGAATCGAATGAAGAAAGAATTGAAATTGTTTTCAAATTCTCCACCATCAGGAATATCATGTGCTCCTCTAAACGACCGATTGGATTTATTGTCAGCTCGTGAGTGTCGTCAATCAAAGATTTAAATATTAAAAACACTGGCTCTCCTTTGAATCAACCCCTAAAATGGCGGCATGCCACATTCTGGCCAAAAATATCCGCACGACGGTGTTCGCGTATATCTAAAATACGGACTTTCTGCCAAGGAACAAATCGCGGCAAAACTAGAATTACTTGACAATATGAACATTGCACACGGTAGTAGTAGCAGACGATAAATACCGACAGTTTCTGCAGACGATAGTAATTAGTAGCAGCAGACGATAATTTTGAGCATTTCTGCAGACGATACTTGCAGACGATACAAATGCTCTGACAGGGTCTTGGCGACCTGCTTCTGCGAGTGTGCCTCAGCGCCAAGTGTATCCCCCACGCCGCTACGCGCAGCGCGGATGGGGACTAAACTAAGTGCCTGGGACTCATGAGTACAGTAATTGGAGGAAGTTGCAGGAGATGCGGTAGCTGCCGCTCGTGAGTCCCAGCCATCTAGTTTAGTCCCCATTCGGGGATACGCTCGGCGGTGAGGCACACTCGCAGAAGCAGGTTGGCAAGTAACGTATCGCCGAGACCCTGTCAGAGCATTTGTTTCGTTATCCGGAGCTGGCACATATATTTTTAATAGAACTGACAAGCATTCGGATATTTTTTGATATTTTATGGCAAGAAATTGGCCAATTTAGCTCTCTTTTGAACGCCATCATATTAAAGCCGCCATTTTGGGGGTTGATTCAAAGGAGAGCCAAAACACTTATATATATATATATATATATATATATATATATATATATATATATATATATATATATATATATATATATATATATATATATATATATATATATATATATATATATATATATAAGTTGTTATAGTACTTATTCAATTTAGAACTTGTTAAAAAATTATAATTACAGTTGGTTTTTAAATTTAGGCTAAATATGAAATCACTGAAAATGGTTTTCTCTACCAGACACTCTTGATATAATTTTTATTTTAAGATTTGTCTGGTTAAACAAAAAAGTGAAAGGAAAACAAAAGGAAATTGCTGCATCTCATTCAAATCTCTTCATCAGTCTAACAGATTCAGCACTTTATTATGTAACTGTTTAGTCTGTAAGTAAGCATGTTTAATTTGTAGTGTTGCTGGAATATTTTGTGGATCTGTTTACTGAATCTGAGATGTGTGTGCACATCGGTTTTATAGATCTGGCTTATTTTTATGCAGCTCTCATGCAGATGCATTCTGATTTAGAAGGAAATACAGCTAATTTGTAGACTCCTAAGACATGCTTGTTTGTGGTCAGATAGTCTTTTCGGCTCCCTTTTAAATAACGGTCGCTAGCTGGAAAGCCGACGGTCGTTTAGTCGGAGTGCGCTCCCTTGGCTGCATTGCAAATACGGAGTGGAAAAGTCACGAATCAAAAACAAGGTCAACATGGCAGTTAGACATCGAGCTCCAACTCACATTAGCAACCACGTTCTTGCGATGCACGACTTAGTTGCCACGGATGTGACTCCTGCAGATCTGTATGCCTTAATGACCGATAAGTTTGCGTGGTTAGGGGTAGTGTTTGGGTTAGGGTTAGGGCTAGATGTGAAAATGTTGACGCAGGAGTTCCAAATAATCGCGTACAGTGACATACACACCCAAATAATTGAAGGACTGTGGATGCTACTCAAACGGACAATTCGCCATCAATTAGGCACCAGCCACGCGCTATTGCCATCATATTTAGGAGAATTCCAGTGGCGCCACTCCCACAAGCATCAGATTGTCGGCCAGTATTTGGAACTCCTGCGTCAAAATTGTCACATCTAACCCTACCCCTAACCCTACACCCTACGCAACCGTATGATGACAGGTAAGTATGTCATTTGTTTCATTCCCTCTTTATGCTCCGTATTTGCAATGCAGCCAAGAGAGCGCACTCCGACTAAGCGACCGTCGGCTTTCCAGCTAGCGACTGTTATTTAAAGGAGAGCCGTCTTTTCTTTTCCCCCACAAAAATGGTCACCAGAACCCACACGAGAATACACAATGAATTCCCTCTGACCTGTGTAAGCCCTGCTTAGTTCTAATGACATTGGCATAGGTAACAATGTTACACCTGTTTGCTTTCCTTAAGGGAGCCAGTAACTAATGGGTGTCCATCTTATTTACTGAGTAGGAGCTATGGTAGGTGCAGTGCTCCTTCTTCCATCTAGACAGGAGCACTGCAATGGGCTGGACAACTGTCCCAGTTGGTTAGATGAGTAGCGACTACACATGAACAGCGACTGTACATGTAAATAGCGACTGTACACATGAACAGCAACTTTACACATAAACAGCGACTGTACACATGAACAGTGACTGTACACATGAACAGTGACTGTACGTGTGAATAGCATCTGTACATATGATTAGTAACTGTACACATGAACATTGACTGTACACATAAACAGCCACTATATACATGAACTACTCACAAGAGACAGACAACACACACTTTAGCAGAAGCACTGTTTATAAGTATTGGCTGTTCTATCCAGCAAGGTGATCTATCGCTGGCCGTTATTAATCTGTCGACCTCTCAAGTACCTCAGTATCAGTCTACTAACTAGAGCACATTACTTTGTTTGAACATGTAGACTGTATTCGCTCGCGCTGGCTGTCAGCTTTTCACATTTGAAGTTTTCCTTTCACTCAACAATTGACTAGCAGTCTTCCTTCCTTCACATCAATTTGTAGCCAGGTCCTCTCTTATGATGCCGGCCTCTCAGATTTACACAAACATCCTAGCAGCTCCTTGCATACTTGAACACACCTTCTCCATCTGAATGTCTCACACAGAATGACCTCGCTTTCTCTTTGCCTGAGCTGCTTCATTTTTCTCACATGTTATACGTCGACAATGTTCACTCTCGCGCGGAGATTCCCTCTGACCTGTGCTCATGTCTGCTATCTAAACTGCACCATTACAGTAGTGTACTTGCCAGACACTCACCAGCTGGCCTGCAGGATTTTATTTTATATTTTCTTAAAATATTGACCTTGGCTCCCAGATTAACCCTACTGACATACGGTAATATCCTGGGAGATAATGACCACTGGAGTGACGTCGACCTCATCAACTATCAAGGTTCAATTAGTCTATAAAAAATATAGTTCTGGCACTGTGCCCTATGCGTCTAAGGTGTGAGAAGTGTCTTTCACTTACTTTACTATCTTGTATATCAAGCTCCCTGTGTTGGTTCTGGGGCCCTATTGTGAGGAAAACAAAAATAGACCCACTGCCTACCCAAAAGCATGTCGTAAGAGTCGACTAATCGGGAGCTTCCTTTAAAGGGGGAGTGCATCTGCCTGAGAGGCAAGGAACCAGCAGTCTGCATACAAATGAGCCAAATCTGTTAAACGGATGCACAGGCAACACTCAGCTTCTGGAACAGGACTGCAGTCCAGAAGTGGATGAACAACCAGAACTTTCCACCAGAGTTTACAGCTGGTGAATGCGAAGAAGAAGAAGAAAGTACACCAAAGAGTTAATTATATAACACTGGTAAAGATGAACCATTTTTCTTTCCAGAAATTATTGGGCCATCAGAAACTCCATTTGAAGGTGGGATTTTCCAACTGGAAATTCAGATACCAGACAGGTTGTAGTTTCCACATTCTAACTATAGTGTTCTGTCACCTTTACTTATGTTACATCACAGATGTGAACCAGCAGAGAAGATGTAGTTGTGTATTATATCTAGCATGCCTGCATGTTGGCTGGCCCAATGATAATAATGTTTAGTTGGCTATTTGTAGAAATCGACACTGGCTTCTAGACTGAACCAACCCAAAATTTTTATGAGGAAATAGACCAGCGGTGACCTTAATTGCACTGGCCTGTTTATGACTCAGACAAGCCTGAATGTTAAGCATGGTTGATTTTGAATGCAGAAGAATTGACAAAGGTTTCCAGACTGTACCAACCTTAAATGGATATGAGAAAATGTTATGGGAAGTAAAGGCGGTCAGGGTGATATTGAGCACATAACCCGTCAAATGTTAATTGGTCTGTAAAAATATTGGGCTGTCACGACATGCCCATTACACCCCATGTAGGATGACCACTTGCCCGGCTCGCTAGCGTAGTTGGCTAAAGCTGACTTCGTGGCGACCGGGTGACGAACTCCTTGTGGTCTGGGTTCACGCCCAGAGGTAGGTAGAAAAGCCACATTTCTCCCTGATTTACGGTACCTATAATGGAATCAAGGCTGAAGGGTTGTTTACAACTCATGGTTTCTGGATACTTAAAAAAAAAAAAGTAGGTTGACCATAAAACAAGGCTATTCAAAATGATGGAGACACTTTCATACCTGTATATTTCCTTGAATATTCATTGAATATGAATAATTTACCGTACCCCATGTGGGTTCTGTGGCCCCATTGTAGGGAAAACAAGAATAGACCCACTGACTACTCACAAGCATGCCATAAGAGTCGACTAATTGGAAGCTCCCTTCAAAGTCAGGGTGCATCTGCTTGAGAGGCAAGGAACAAACAGTCTGCATACACATGAGTCAGATCTGTAAAACGGGTGTGCACGCAAAAAAAAGTATATCCATGATTTTGAATAACTTTGTATTTTTAGCTAAAAACAAGACATGCCACTAATAATTGCAGCTGGAAATGGGACATCACAAGCAAGTCAGTTTAATCCCACCTTCGTTTTGTTTTTTCTATCTAGGTCACTGTGGTGAAAGGGGTAATTACTCTTTCCTCAATTATATTAAAACCCAAACCATTGTCACCAATAAATAAACAAAACAATTAGTTAGTTAGTTAGTTAGTTGGGTTATCATCATTGCACTCCGGACATGTCCATAGGTGCTCAGATCCTCCCCTCAGTATGAATCCCAACGTCCGATGGCTAATAGTACCAGTTCTATGTTGATTAACAAGTCTTCTGACGTGTCCCGTGTGCGTCTCGTTTTTTGCTGTGCCGATCTTAATTCCCAAGTCTGCCATTCTGGCGAGTGATGTGGATTCACTGCCACCAAAGTCCTCTATCCTTCCCATGTCTCTGAGGGCATTGATAATATCAGCATGATCCATAGGCCGACCGTCGGTAGTGATAGCGGATCCAACCAACCTGTCAGCTCTTTCATTTCCATCGACGCCTGCGTGTCCCGGAACAAAAATAAAGGTGACTCCTCGCACAGTGGACTTCTGAATTGATTCAAGCCATTGTCTTCGCACTGAACCCTCCGGATCATACTCATTGAATCACTGAGTATACATATGCGGGTGTATTTTTGTGTTTCAAGCCAGGCAAACGCTTGCGTCACTGCCATCACCTCCATCGTCATGCTGCTGGTTGTCATGGAGAATGCGCCGTTGGCTTCTTTGACTGTTCTGCCCGCTGAGCGTGCTGTAAATGCCCATGCGCTTCTTCTTTGGCGTATAACGGATCCGTCTGTATAGATTAGTGCATCTGCTTCGTCTGAATTTTCACCGATGAGAGCGTTGACCTCTGCATTAACAGCAACAGGATTCTCTTCTCTACATCGCCTGTTGAGTGTGACAATACAGGAAAATGTACAAATAAACAAAACAATATGCTCATTAACTGCACCGACAAAGATGCAACAGTGAAGATTTCCATCTTGATTCACCAAAAATATCTAAAACTATGAAATCTAATGATGTCTATAAGTGTGTGTGTTCTGTTCTGCAACTAATTCGTAGATTTTTATATAGTGGGACGATCAATATCTTTTGGGAGTACCAACGGGACGGCCATGACACACCTAAAAGCATGACTATCCTGGTTACAATGGGGCATAGGGTAACCCTACTCTGTGGCATAGAAAAGAATCGTTTACTGCCCAAACAAGTAAACTGACTGTTTCTTGTGATCGTGTATGAAGGGTTATTGCTCCTCAATGCTCCTCAATGGCCCTAGAGCCACTTAATTGTTGGGTAAATGCTTTAACTACTGCACCATTTCAATTTTACTTGTACATGTGATAACACTTGAGTTTTTATTATAAATTTAACAAAGTTGTTTTTCTATTGTTATGGAGCAAATTTCTGTTAAAGTAAATTAACTCTTTCAGTCCCAAGGAAACACATCTTACGTTTATATGTTTCTGCCTAGAAATCCAGTGAACACAATATGTGCTTTTACGTCTCTCTTGACTTCCCTCTGATGCTAAACCCCCTGGGATGGAAATAATGAAGAATGTGTATATTTTAAATATTTTTCCAGGTATCCATTTGAACCTCCTCGTATTAGATTTCTGACCCCGATTTATCACCCCAATATTGATACATCTGGCAGAATTTGTCTGGATACTCTCAAACTTCCACCTAAGGTAACTAACAAATGCTTTTGACTTGTGTTTGTATTAGTAAGTAACATTGAAAAAAAATTTTTGAGACATGGTTAGGAAACTAGACTCCATCTTCGTGTTGATCAACCCCTGGCCCTCATTCCTGGTACCATACCTTTGCTATTATTTTTCCAGTCCACCATGGCGTTTGATATAGCCAAAACATTTTCAGTTTCCGAGATAAGATGCTGTTTATTAGCCAGTCTTCCTTAATGATCAGATCGTTTAGAATGTCAGAAGTAATCGTCTAGTTGTAAATAATATCTGATGGAAAACCAAGTCTCTGAACACTGATTCTGAAGTAGAATACCATAACATCCTTCTCACCACACTGTAGTCATCAAAGATATTTCCTATACAGAAAATGTATGGTTACAGGGAGGCAGGAGAGACACCACATTCATTTCCCTAAGTTAATTTTTAATGCATGCCTGTGTGGATTCCAGGGCTCCATTTTGGAGATCAAAGAAAGAACCAACTGTCCACTAACAAGCCTGTCATAAGAGGTGACTAGTTAGTGGTGTTTTCTTTAAAGTCTGAGTGCATCTGCCTGAGAGCCAGTAGAATATTCTGACTTGTTTTCATGTGCCGCGACATGATAACCTGTTAGCATTAGTTATGTTTGGCAGTGAGGCCATAAAGAAAATGTTAATTTCATGTGCCTTACCAGGCATTTTATGTGGCGTGACATGATAACCCGGTAGCATTAGTTATGTTTGGCAGTGAGGCCATAAAGAAAATGTTAATTTCATGTGCCTTACCAGGCATTTCATGTGCCGTGACATGATAACCCGTTAGCATTAGTTATGTTTGGCAGTGAGGCCATAAAGAAAATGTAATTTTCATGTGCCTTACCAGGCAGTTCATGTGATCATGTTCCTGCTCAACCATCTATATCATGTTTTCATAATACTTGTCTTGGTACTTTCTGCCATGTCTTGGTACTTTCTGCCATGTCTTGGTACTTTCTGCAATGCCTTGGTACTTTCTGCCATGTCTTGGTACTTTCTGCCATGTCTTGGTACTTTCTGCCGTGTCTTGGTACTTTTTGCTGTGTCTTGGTACTTTCTGCCGTTTCTTGGTACTTTCTGGAGTTTCATGGTACTTTCTGCCATTTCATGGTACTTTCTACCACTGATCATCTGCATGCCTTTCAGTCCATATTTTCTCCTTCTGTGATATTGTCTCCAACATTGCATGCAGTCTTACCATATTTGTGATGATGTAAATGATAACAGAGCTCATTTGTTGTAATTGATTTCTTCCACAGGGAGCCTGGCGTCCTTGCCTCAATGTGTCGACAGTGTTGATGATGATTCGAGTCCTCATGGAGGAGCCAGGGTCTGAGGATCCTCTGATGACTGATATTGTAAGTTGGGGATTTGATCATTACTAGCACTGAAACAGTTTCGGGATAAATCTTGCAGTAACTGAATGTTGAATTAAGAATCAACATAATAGCACTCGGGACACTTCCATGAGCGTTCCATCCTTATCTTTAGCAGCAGGCGAAGAGTTTCAATTTCACTTTCTCACTAGCTCTCTGACTGTAAATCCATCGTGCCTTTTCCTTGAATGTTGAGCGTCGACCCCAGATCCCCTGGTAAGATCCTGCAATAAGTGTTGTAATTTCTAATTTCTTCATTCCTGATTTGATCTCTTCTTGTCACACCAGCTGCTCTCCTAAGACATCTCATCTCTGTTGTTATGATCTTCTGCTCATTAGTTGTAGTAAGGCTCCATGTTTGGTACCGGTAGCACAAATATCGGCCCAAAAAAACGTTCTTATGAGATTTGCTTTGGTTGACAGGGGTATCTTTCTATGGGTCAGAAGCGGTGTTAATTGTCCCATAACCTGATTTGCTTTCGCACATTGTATGTTGATTTCTCTAGTCATTCTTCCATTTGAGGTGAAAACGATCATAGATATTTAAATTTGCTTGTTTCCTAAACACTACGCAAGTGCTTATAGAACCAATGAAATTTTAACTGCGCTTTTGGAAACAGGTGACTGCAGAAATACCGATATATCTGCATGTACAGGACTGTGTCACAAGAAATTAGATTAGCCTTCTTGGGGTGATAAGGCTGGACTCCTTCTGACCTTAATATGTATTGCTTTCAAGCCCGTCTCTTTTTTATATCAGGAGTTAAAATAACATCTCACTAAAAGAGCTTATAGGAAAACTTTTTGCTTGCTGCTGAAGATGGGGATGGAGCCCTTATGGGGATGTCCCGAGTGCTGTGATGTCAATTCTAAATTTAACATTTAACATTCAACAACAGTTTATAGGACAATGAAAAATGACAAATATTTTATTGACTTCTTCGTTCAGTATTTATTCAAACCTAGTCAAAATGTTTGTTTGATTCTAGTGGCAAGAATTCCGTTATGATTACACAACATACACCGAGAAGGCCAAGCAGTGGACAAGACAGCATGCCATGGGCAGTCACATTTGCCAGGAAACTGTCAACAACGTAAGTGTTGATGTGTCTGCTTCGCATTTAGTCTGCGTTTATCATGGGAGTTCAGTAGTTTGAGATGCATTTTGTCCATATTCAATAGCTGTGGATTTCAAGCTGTATGATAGACATGGCCAATAAAGATAGCTTTTTTTTTAGGTGTGCCTAGTTGGTCATGTTCTAGTACACTTGTTTCCATAGCGAGGCATACACACCATTTGGAAGTCACAGGTTTGATAGCCGACACGGTAACTTTAGCTTTCCATTTTTATGTTGTCTAGGTTGTGTCCTTCTGTCGGTCTACTTTTTGCTATGAGTGCTGATCAATACACTGTCTGTTTGTATATATATATATATATAAAAAAGTTATAAATATTAGTTTAGAATATTATGGCTTAATATGTGGTCACCTATCTCTAACAGCGACAGGTTGAATTTCAAACCACGATGGTTCAAAATCCGGCATCAAAACAAACATATCCTGAAAATTTCAGCTAAATCGGTTCAGTAGTTTCCGAGTCTATAGGGAGCAAACAAACACACAAACATTGATTTTTATATATATATGTTTGAAATTCAACCTGTCGCTGTTAGAGATAGGTGACCACATATTAAGCCATAATATTCGAAACTAATATTTATAACTTTAGTGATTTCTAATTATAGCCACGTTAGTAATTGCGCATGCGCCGCCGTAGTCAGAACGCAAGGCTTCCGCCATTTGCCGGCGAGTTACGTGCAGCCAACGCCTTCTCTAATACATAGAGTAGGTCGTGGTACATTAAACAAGACTATCTCTATATTTGCCACAATAACCATATTAAACACGATTTCTATTTTTTTTTCCAAACAACCTTCGATTGGGGGGGGGGGGGGGGGGGGGCGCAATCAAGGACTATCTCGACGTCGGCGCAGACATTGACTGCGACATTAACTTCATTAACCGTGTTAGACACGTGCGATTTCTATTGTTGTGCCGTTTCATTAATATATTTGGAGTATCTGTCTACGAGAAAACAATTGCCTGCGGTTTTGAATTGTGTTTTAATCAGGACTCAGTAGTAGGGACACATATCTCTAATAGTTAAGTTCTATTTTCGTTTACCCGTAATTGGCTGCTTGGTCGAATGGTTAGAACACTGGGTTCCTGTGCGGGAGACCTGGTTTCGAATCCGCAGTAGTTAATATTTTTTTTTACCCCGGACTAAAATAATATCCTCATCTGCTCTGTCGTGGTGACAGCACTAGCCATGTTGCCTTAATATAAAAAAAAAAAACAAAAGACAAGTAAATGGGTAAACCATTTGATAATTAAATTTGACCATTTCGCATACTTATGATTGCATTTTAAAACTTTCCGATTGCATGGTTACGCTGAAATTTTATAGATTTTCATTTAGATTTAGTTATTTCATCTGCGTTGGAATTTTAAGCTGTGCTGTTTACCATGGCGTTCATTTCCTAATTATGGTGTTTTTTTCCTGTGTTCATTTGCTTTTCAAGTGTGTTTTTTTCTCCTCCCAACTACTTCAATGAGAGAAAGAGTTTAAGGTGAATTTGGGGGGAAGGGGGGGGGGGGGGGGGGGGGGGGGGGGGGCAAACTATTTACTGAGAGAGCTTTAAGTCACAGTAACTGCTTTACCCACTTAAAGTAGCAGCAGCAGTAATAGTTGTGGTTGGGCTGTTACACCATAGTGGCGTTCTTCTGTTGGCAAGTGAAATTATACATCCTAACCTGACCAGTCTGTGGCGACAGCACTAGCCCTGCAGAACCAAATCTTCTGGCTCACGACTCTCTGTCTACTCCGATGGTAAAACAGATAGCAGTGACATTATTTTAGTAGTTGTACTGGTACTTGAAGGATGATGTGGTAAATATTACACTAGCCCCATTCACTACCTATTACAATTCCTGCTCCCCATTTTGGTCCAGATGGACAGGGATGTCAATGTCAGTTACAGCAACAACAAAATATCGCCAGGTAATGATTTTCAAATATTTCGAAGAGGGAGAGAGCAGTAGTCGGTGGAAGAGGCGAGGGGAGGGGGGTAATGACTTAAATTTAAGAGAACTTAAAGAGCTTTACACGTGATTTTCAAGTTCTCATTACCTAATTTGTTTATATTTTACTAACGCTACCTCCGCTTTTCTATTTTTTACGACTTACTTTGTTATTTACAAGTACAGTTGTAGCTTTACTTCCGTCTCCTATAAAAATACAAACAGCTTTAGCATGAGATAACCAAATAACCACTTTTGTTACCGTGCTAATAGCACCATTTAACCGACCACTAATATAAAGACACAATTATATGGTGAGTGTTCTAAAGTTGGAAAACGAGACTATCTCTATATAAATGTGCAGAGATTGCGACATTAACTATATTAGACAGGTGCGATTTCCATTGTCTTTCTTTTCCAAAAACCTTTGATGAGGGAGAGGGTAGTAGGTGGATTTAGTTGTGGGGTGGGGGGGGGGTGGGGTGGAGATCAAAGACTATTTCTTATCTGAGCAGACAATGATTGTATTAGACATGTGCGATTTCTATTTTCTTTCATTTCCATTTAGCCAAACTATGCCACAGCAATGCGTGGCCGGGTACAGCTAGTATATATATATATATATATATGTGGCGCGGTGATTTATGTCACAGGCGTGAGGGGAAGTTAAGTCCAACATGATGTGTATAAGGAGATACTCCGTACGTCACTCGGACGCCAGTCCTTTACTATCCTGGTTGTACGGAACCTCACGCAAGACCCCTACAGCACGTCCTCGTCGTGCGCCATGGATAATGTCTCAAATGAGCATTAACAGAGCTGTCAGGGGATCTCGGAGTTCGGCGGCCCCCAGAGGTGATGTGTCCTTGTGGCTCTCATCAGCCCGCCCCCAAACGCTTGGGTGAAAAATGTTATCAAAACTCATTAGGAACATGAGTAAGTTTGCCAAACGTACAGCCAAAATTACAACCCTTGGTTAAAAGACTGCGGAGTAAAGAGAACACTGTTCACTGCACATCCTCTGTTAACCCTCAGTGTCGTCACCGCGCTGAGGTTTACACCGCAACAGCAACCATCCATAGGCTGGCCATCCTTGTACATCCTCGGTTAACCCTCAGTGTCGTCGTCACCGCGCTGAGGTACAGCACAACAGCAACCATCCATCGGATGGCTAAGCCTAAATGTCCGACAAAACTAGATCATACGGATCAAAATCTGACCATCAAAATTTGTATTGAACTGAAAAAGACCGAATGTCCACACCCAAAGACCCCACTCGTCCGAGTGTTGGGACAAAACTGATAACGATATGTCTGATGCAGGATGTAAAATTCTGTCGGGCTAACAGCTCGTCAAAGAAATTTAACGTGCGAAGAAAAAAAAAAAGAATGTACCTATCTGTGTGGTCACAAAAGTCCAAAACCCACGGGCTGCTCCCCGCTGACTTCCAGAGGGCGCAGACCCTGTCGAGCGGGGGGCCTGATACGGTTGTGAGGTTAAGCAGGCATGTGCAGGACGTGACGATTCCTTGGGTGAGCCCAGAACCAGAGCGCCATGTGCCGGCTCTGCATGCATGGAAGCCTCCTTGGATGGCGGGGAATGCCCATGATCTGTCCCTGCCTTCCCTTGAGGGCTAACTGTTCCACAGGGGGCTGCCCCAAAAGGGTACTCCGGGGGCAATACCTGCGGCGAAGGAGACAAAGTGGACACCACACAAGTCAGGCAACGTCTCGACCCACACAAAACAATGGCCACAGTCACCCTAGAAATAGGCCTGACGTCTTCCTTCGAAGTCGGAGTACAGCTGCCCAGGAGGCAGGGAAATGAAAAACGGTTGTACACGCAAAAATCAGGTCCAGGTGAAAGCCAAAAGTCCAAGCGGACGATTATCCTGGACCTTCCACTGGAATTCACAGCCGGTGATCGATTTAAAAAAAAAAAAAAAAAAAAAAAAAAATATATATATATATATATATATATATATATATATATATATATATATATATATATATATATATATATATATATATATATATATATATATATATATATATATAGTCGGCTCTGTGGCTAAGTCGATGCGAACACTTCGCTTCGTAATGCCGGGATGCCAGGTTCGATCCCAGCTGCGGGCAATGCACCTTGCGTTGGTTTCGACAGTGGTATCAAGAAAGCCGACCGTCCAGAAAGCAATGGCAAACTACTGGATGTAAATTTGCCTAGAGAAACCACACAACAGCCAGGGGCTGTTAGGGTTGGTTCTGCAATGTCCTCTAGAGGATACGCAACAACCATACATTCATATATTGATCACACCACACATCAAAGTGATATTGATCACATCACCCATCAACGTGATATTGATCACATCACCCATCAACGTGATATTGATCACATCACCCATCAACGTGATATTGATCACTTCGCCCATCAACGTGATATTTCTCACTTCACCCATCCACGTGATATTGATCACATCACCCATCAACGTGATATTGATCACATCACCCATCAACGTGATTTTGATCACATCACCCATCAACGTGATTTTGATTACATCACCCATCAACGTGATATTGATCACATCACCCATCAACGTGATATTGATCACATCACCCATCAACGTGACATTGATCACATCACCCATTAACATGTTATTGATCACATCACCCATTATCGTGATATTGATCACATCACCCATGAACGTGATATTTATCACATCAGCCATTATCGTGATATTGATTACATCAGCCATTATCGTGATATTGATCACATCAGCCATTATCGTGATATTGATTATATCACCCATTAACGTGACATTGATCACATCACCCATCAACGTGATATTGATCACATCACCCATTATCGTGATATTGATCACATCACCCATTATAGTGATATTGATCACATCACCCATTATTGTGATATTGATCACATCACCCATTATTGTGATATTGATCACATCACCCATTAACGTGATATTGATTACATCACCGATTAAATGATATTTATCACATCAGCCATTATCGTGATATTGATTACATCACCCGTTAACGTGATATTGATCACATCACCCATTAACGTGATATTGATCACATCACCCATTAACGTGATATTGATCACATCACCCATTAACGTGATATTGATCACATCACCCATTAACGTGATATTGATCACATCACCCATTAACGTGATATTTGTCACATCAGCCATTACCGTGATATTGATCACATCAGCCATTATTGTGATATTGATCACATCACCCATTATCGTGATATTGATCACATCACCCATTAACGTGATATTGATCACATCACCCATTAACGTGATATTGATCACATCACCCATTAACGTGATATTTGTCACATCAGCCATTATCGTGATATTGATCACATCAGCCATTAATATTGATCACATCACCCATTAACGTGATATTTGTCACATCAGCCATTAATATTGATCACATCACCCATTATCGTGATATTGATCACATCACCGATTACCGTGATATTGATCACATCACCCATTATCGTGATATCGATCACATCACCCATTATCGTGATATTGATCACATCACCCATTATCGTTATATTGATCACATCACCCATTAACGTGATATTGATCACATCAGCCATTATTGTGATATTGATCACATTACCCATTATCGTGATATTGATCACATCACCCATTAACGTGATATTGATCACATCACCCATTATCTGGATATTGATCACATCACCCATTATCGTGATATTGATCACATCACCCATTAATGTGATATTGATCACATCACCCATTAATGTGATATTGATCACATCACCCATTATCGTGATATTGATCACATCACCCATTAATGTGATATTGATCACATCACCCATTAACGTGATATTGATCACATCACCCATTAACATGTTATTGATCACATCAGCCATTATCGTGATATTGATCACATCAGCCAATAAGGTGGTATTAATCGCATCACCCATTAACGTGATGCCACATCAGAAGAGGAGTGCTCTCTCTCTCTCTCTGTCCACCTGTCAGAGCTTGCCTACTAGACCAGTAGCCAGCTAAGGCTAGGTAACAGCCTGGTCTGCTCTGCTGAAACATTCAGTTGTCAGGTTACGTTTCCTCTTCCTACGAAATGGTTTGATCCATCTCAGTGCACTCTTTCTCTTGAAGCTGTTGGCACAAGTGGGATGCCAGATTTGATATATGCCACTCGACATCCAATGTTAACGGAGAGCAGGTAGTACCAACTACTGTTATACAGTTGTAGCTCAGTGATATCTGACTAGGATCTGACAGTGTTCTTGAATCTACTCATAGAAAAAAAACACCCACACATCTCTACCTCATTGTTGCACCTTTAACCAGCAACCACTTGTTAGTTGTTTTAAAAAAAAAAAAAAAGCTTATTCTCACTGTCTGTTAGTAATAGGATATCGGCACAAAATCACTGTTTGTGTAAAATGTCTATATTTTAACTTTGGCCATAATTTAATTTGATGCCTGCTTCCACAGCCTGAAAAGAAAAGTGCAGATGTTGGTGTGAAGTTTGATCCATGTCCTCTGTCTTTGGGACAGTCATCTGGCAGTGGAAAAATAGCTTCAGATGTAAATACAGCTCAGTCTGAATCAAAACTGGACAAGAGGAAAGGTTTGGCGGAGACGGACAATGTTGATAGCACCAGCAAGAAAGCCAAGTTTTCCTAGTTATTTCTGGTATGGTCCAACTTCCAATGAGCTCGCATGCAGACTGAATGGCTCACATTTATTCAAGCGACGGCTGGCAAAAGTAGCATGGCAGTACACACAGACTTTTGTTCTTCAGATTTGAAGCTATTACTGAGTTTTTCTCTGATGATTTTTGCAGAATGGGCTGCATATTTTTTATTTGCGATGAATGCCAGCCTCATAATTTTTATTGCATTGATGGTCAAGACATAAGTTTATACATGTGTCAGACATGTTTGAAGAAATACTTCAGTAATATATTTATTTACATTGGCTGTCTCTGTATGCTTTATAGTTAATACCTGGTGTCATGCATTTGAATTTTAGGAAAAATATCTTCCTTCCCATAAAGAGATAATTGTGTTTGATATTTTTGTTGAAATTGAGATCACTAGTTGTGAATTTGCTTTGTTTCCACTTTTGCCATGATGAGTTTTTTGAAATCAATAATATGATGAGTAACATCCACATGTCGGCGTCTGTGGCTTCGATGTTGCCAACGCGATTCGTAATGCCGGGGTGCCTGGTTCGATCTCCGCTGCGGGCCTTGTGTTGGTTTCGCCAATGGTATCGAGAAGCCGACCATTCAGAAGAAAGCAGTGTCAAAATACTGGAAGTAATTTTGCCTAGAAAAATCACAACAACCTGAAAATATTTGGGTTGGTTCTGCAATGTCCTGTAAAGGATATGCTTCTAACTTTAACATCCACATAATTTTCACTACAATTTCAGCCTTTAGCAGCCACAGTTGTTTAGATTGTATGGTAGTGGAAGTCACATTTCCTGGAAGCAGAGGCAGATGTTTACCGGCACAAAGGTAGATGTTTACCGGCACAAAGGAAGATGTTTACCGGCACAAAGGTAGATGTTTACCTGCACAAAGGTAGATGTTTACCGGCACAAAGGTAGATGTTTACCGGCACAAAGGTAGATGTTTACCGGCACAAAGGTAGATGTTTACCGGCACAAAGGTAGATGTTTACCGGCACAAAGGTAGATGTTTACCGGCACAAAGGTAGATGTTTACCGGCACAAAGGTAGATGTTTACCGGCACAAAGGTAGATGTTTACCGGCACAAAGGTAGATGTTTACCGGCACAAAGGTAGATGTTTACCGGTACAAAGGTAGATGTTTACCGGCACAAAGGTAGATGTTTACCGGCACAAAGGCAGATGTTTACCGGCACAAAAGCAGATGTTTACCGGCACAAAGGCAGATGTTTACACCGGCACAAAGGTAGATGTTTACCGGCACAAAGGTAGATGTTTACCGGCACAAAGGCAGATGTTTACCAGCACAAAGGCAGATGTTTACCGGCACAAAGGCAGATGTTTACCGGCACAAAGGTAGATGTTTACCGGCACAAAGGTAGATGTTTACCGGCACAAAGGTAGATGTTTACCGGCAGAAAGGTAGATGTTTACCGGCACAGAGGTAGATGTTTACCGGCACAGAGGTAGATGTTTACCGGCACAAAGGTAGATGTTTACCGGCACAAAGGTAGACACAGGATATTGGGAGGTTAGCTTGCACATGACAGTACACGAGGGGAAATATCCATGAAGGTTTTTGGTTCTAGTGTGTTGTTATGGAAGCGATGTTCTAACAAAAAACACACTGCATGATGTTTTCAACTTAGTTGCTTAAGAGAACAGTGTCCTTGAAATGGAACACTGTTAAAAGTGATTGCCGTACCTGAAAACCACTGCAACCTCATTGGGTTTGTACAAACAAGAGCAAAATGGTAATGACTGCTGATATACAAGTTTCTCATTGAGGAGATTAAGCTGGTCATGGAGAGCCATGTTGAGTAGATAGTTAGAGACTTGCCTAAAGGTCTTAGGTTCAAATCTTTATCAAGATGGATCATTATAATCATCCTGTTCTCCCAGGTTGTTACCTGCATAAAATGGGTGCCAGTTAATCTGGAAAATAAAGGCCGCTAGCGTGATGCTGGGCATTTAGCCCAACACATACCAGTTTGCTCTGTAAAACTATTGGTCTAGCACTATAAATGATGGACCAACAGGGCCAGAACTTTATCCATGTAGGCAGGCATCACTGAATACTGAAGATGTACTGTAGACATGCCCTGTACATGCAGTAGAGAGAGATCCTGAAGATGTACTGTAGACATGCCCTGTACATGCAGTAGAGAGAGATCCTGAAGACATGCCTTCTACTGCAGTAGACAAGATGCCCATGCCCTACATGTAGTAGAGATGTACTATTGACATGCCCTGCATGCAGTAGAGAGAAGATCTGAAGATGTACTGTACATGCCCTGTACATGTAGAGAGATCATACTGAGTAGAGAGAGATCCTGAAGATGACTGTAGATGTACTGAAGATGTACTGTAGACATAGCCCTCTTCATGCAATACATGCCTTCTACCTGAAGATGTACTGTAGACATGCCCTCTTCATGCAGTAGAGATGAGAGAGATCCTGAAGATGTACTGTAGACATGCCCTGTACATGCAGTAGAGAGATCATGAAGATGTACTGAGCCCATGCCCTGAAGATGTACTGTAGACATTGACATCATGCCCTGTACAGACATGTAGTAGAGAGATCCTGAAGATGTACTGTAGACATGCCCTGTACATGAGTAGAGAGAATCCTAAGATGTACTGAGACATGCCTTCTGTACTGTAGACATTCCTGTACATGCAGTAGAGAAATCCTGAAGATGTACTGTAGACATGCCCTGCCCTACATGCAGTAGAGAGATCCTGAAGATGTACTGTAGACATGCCCTGTACATGCAGTAGAGAGAGATCCTGAAGATGTACTGTAGACATGCCCTGTACATGTACTGCAGACATGCCCTCTACATGCAGTAGATGAGATCTTGAAGATGTACTGTAGACATGCCCTCTCCATGCAGAAGATGTACTGTAGACATGCCCTACCCTGCAGTAGAGAGAGATCCTGAAGATGTACATGCCTTCTGTACTGTAGACATGCCTTCTACATGCAGTAGAGAGAGAGATCCTGAAGATGTACTGTAGACATGCCCTCTTCATAGAGAGAATAGAGAGATCCCCTGTACATGCTGAGAGATGTGAAGATGCACTGTAGACATGCCCTCTCCATGCAGAGATCCTGAAGTAGAGACATGCTATCCTGAAGATGTACTGTAGACATGCCCTCTTCATGCAGTAGAGAGATCCTGAAGATGTACTGTAGACATGCCTTCTACATGCAGTAGAGAAATCCTGAAGATGTACTGTAGACATGCCCTGTACATGCAGTAGAGAGATCATGAAGATGTACTGTAGACATGCCCTCTACATGCAGTAGAGAAATCCTGAAGATGTACTGTAGACATGCCTTCTACATGCAGTAGAGAAATCCTGAAGATGTACTGTAGACATGCACTGTACATGTAGTAGAGAGATCCTGAAGATGTACTGTAGACATGCCCTGTACATGCAGTAGAGAGAGATCCTGAAGATGTACTGTAGACATGCCCTGTACATGCAGTAGAGAGAGATCTTGAAGATGTACTGTAGACATGCCCTGTACATGTAGTAGAGAGAGATCCTGAAGATGCACTGTAGACATGCCCTGTACATGTAGTAGAGAGAGATCCTGAAGATGTACTGTAGACATGCCCTGTACATGCAGTAGAGAGATCCTGAAGATGTACTGTAGACATGCCCTCTACATGCAGTAGAAAGATCCTGAAGATGTACTGTAGACATGCCCTGTACATGCAGTAGAGAGAGATCCTGAAGATGTACTGTAGACATGCCCTCTACATGCAGTAGAGAGAGATCCTGAAGATGTACTGTAGACATGCCCTACCCTGCAGTAGATTCTGAAGATGTACTGCAGACATGCCTTCTACATGCAGTAGAGAGAGATCCTGAAGATGTACTGTAGACATGCCCTCTACATGTAGTAAAGAGATCCTGAAGATGTACTGTAGACATGCCTTCTACATGCAGTAGAGAGAGATCCTGAAGAGGTACTGTAGGCATGCCCTGTACATGCAGTAGAGAGAGATCTTGAAGATGTACCGTAGACATGCCCTGTACATGTAGTAGAGAGAGATCCTGAAGATGCACTGTAGACATGCCCTGTACATGCAGTAGAGAGATCCTGAAGATGTATTGTAGACATGCCCTCTCCATGCAGTAGAGAGATCCTGAAGATGTACTGTAGACATGCCTTCTACATGCAGTAGAGAGAGAGAGATCCTGAAGATGTACTGTAGACATGCTCTCTTCATGCAATAGAGAGATCCTGAAGATGTACTGTAGACATGCCCTCTTCATGCAGTAGAGAGATCCTGAAGATGTACTGTAGACATGCCTTCTACATGCAGTAGAGAAATCCTGAAGATGTACTGTAGACATGCCCTGTACATGCAGTAGAGAGATCATGAAGATGTACTGTAGACATGCCCTCTACATGCAGTAGAGAAATCCTGAAGATGTACTGTAGACATGCCTTCTACATGCAGTAGAGAAATCCTGAAGATGTACTGTAGACATGCACTGTACATGTAGTAGAGAGATCCTGAAGATGTACTGTAGACATGCCCTGTACATGCAGTAGAGAGAGATCCTGAAGATGTACTGTAGACATGCCCTGTACATGCAGTAGAGAGAGATCTTGAAGATGTACTGTAGACATGCCCTGTACATGTAGTAGAGAGAGATCCTGAAGATGCACTGTAGACATGCCCTGTACATGCAGTAGAGAGATCCTGAAGATGTACTGTAGACATGCCCTGTACATGTAGTAGAGAGAGATCCTGAAGATGTACTGTAGACATGCCCTGTACATGCAGTAGAGAGAGATCCTGAAGATGTACTGTAGACATGCCCTGTACATGCAGTAGAGAGAGATCCTGAAGATGTACTATTGACATGCCCTGTACATGTAGTAGAGAGAGATCCTAAAGATGTACTATTGACATGCCTTCTACATGCAGTAGAGAAATCCTGAAGATGTACTGTAGACA